GGTGTGCGGCGGTCAGAAGAACAGATGGTGCAGGTTGGCAGCCTCACTTCTATCAGTCTGCCCCAGGACAGTTGTGGCTACTGGGGTGAGACTAATTTCTTCAAATACATGGAGAAAAAAGTCATCATGAATAGTTATAAAGGAAATCATGAATATTTTGCCTGGTCTTAATCAAAACAGAAATAGAAAATCAGAGACAGATTCAGTCCGACAAAGCTTTGAAAAAACATGCAGGTTTAAGGGCAAATTATCATTAAAAACAACCCGCCAAAGTGAATTGTTTACTTCTGGCAGATGTATCAGAAGTGTCTTATTATTAAAATGAATGCACTGGTGCTATTTTAGGCCAATCCACATGAGAGGACGCGTTCCTTCAGAAAAACCCATTAAGGGGAGCTAATTGCGCACCGTAAATGTCAGATATGAGTAATGCCCGACCGCTATGGGAAAAATAAGTGTAAAATGCCACCTGGGAGCTAGCCCGTGTGAACTAGCATCTGTCGCTACGATCATTTACACTAAAGGGGACAAATATTAATAGGCCCTTTTGAAAACAATGTCACAGAACGTTTATTTTTGTATGTAATTAAAGCTGAACAAATTGAAATTCCTCTGCGAAATATAGTCGTGATTTTTGGCTGGAAATATGGCTCCCGTCAACCCCTCAACTGCGTAATCAATTTTCATTTAGAACTTTTACGACTGGCAAAAACTGAGCGCGAAATCCGATCAATCTTACAGCATTGGGGGCAACAGGGTGTGAGAGGTGTGTGAGGGAGGTCCGGGGGGAAATGAGAGCTTGTGTTTGTGAGTTTGTATAATCCGAATGATGGATCGTCTGGAGCTCCATGGAGACCGAGGGAGACTTCGGGATCTTCAGGAGGATTACATACTGGAGGCGACAATAAACTGGGGCAAGAAAATGTAGACGATAAAAGATAATATTAAATGTTATTATGCCTTAACCTTAGACCGTATATAAATAGGAAGTGAGCATAGGCGCACTTTGGCTCCATCAACTCCATTTCACTTTCTATTGAAGAACTTGAGGCTACGTTCAGACTGTGATTATGACTTTTTTTTTTGCCCAGGCCACTTGGATATGTGCTCCTAAAACCAATACATATCCGATCAATTGAAATGCAACTTCACTCTGAACTGTCAGGTCTCATTCATCCAACCTACGTGTCAGACTTGGAGTCTAGTCAATGGAGGGAAAGTGAGGTTAGCGAGTTATTTAATATTTGGGGGGATCGCTGTATTCAGGCCAAATTGGAGGGGTCTTATCGGGCGGTTTTTGAAATGATTGCCAAAGAAATGCCTGAGCGCGGCTACAGGTGGTCCTGGCTCCAAAGTCAATGAAAAATAAAAAGCCTGCGAGCCAAATACAAGGAGGCTAAAGACTCAAACAAACCTGTCCATTTTAGGAAGAACTGGACCATATTTTGGGAGACAAGCCCAGCGTTTAGATGACTTCAGTAAACACTGAGCACACTCACTGCGTGTGATGTCGTTGTCTCGATGTTGTTTAAAGTTCACACTGGAGATCACATACAAGTCGCATTTAATTGTAAATGTGAATGACCTGGCAAAAAAATCTGATTTCACAAATACACCCGAATTGAACATTAAACCCTGCAGTCTGAACGTAGCCTTAGTCCCTCTCTCTGTAACTGTTGATGTCAGGCTTGTAATTTTGGTCTTAACATGTTCATATTAACCCGCCCTACATGATTTTGGTGTTTTTATTTTGCTTTCTTTGTCTGTAAATAAAGATATGAATGTTAATAACTGACCAATCAGGATCCTTCATTCCCTAAGGACCCTCCCTGTAGCATTACCAACAGGTTTGATTAACAGTGTTGCTAAGCACAGGGAAAGGGTGTTACTTTCAGTGGCCTTACTCCAGATTGGCTCTTTGGTTGCTATGATGCTCATGGTCAAATATACTTTGCTCCAAATTCGCCCCTATAACTTCGAGCCTCGCTGAGCTTCATTTGACTGGAGCCAAACGCTATGGGTGATGTCACACTCACTTAGCCCACTTTTTTATACAGTCTGTGGCCCTAACCCTATAACAAGAGAAAAAGGTACAAACCAAGGTGGAGTTGTGCAGATGGAGACAGGGGGAGACGTTAATCCAGTTTCCCTGGTTAGGTGAAGGTTGCAGATGACCAGCTCTGTTATACCCATGCATAGAAATATTGGCTGTGAACCAAGGGCTTTTTTAATCAAATTCCAACCACTTTTACTGCGTAGGTCAGCTCGAGGTCGGCCGCTTTCAAACCACACTCACCGCTCCAAAGTGAGACAGGAGAATTAAAAGGCTCATATTACGCTTTTTTCTGATCTATGTTATAATGTTGTTTCCTCGTCACAAACATACCGCACATGTTTAACACACAAACCCTGCATATGTAGGCTGAGTTGTTCTTTCAAACTGAAAACACACTTTGCCATGTCATGTGGTATTACTGGAAGTGCTCCACTGTGTTTTTAAACTCCATACACCTTCATTAGAATCATTTGGATGATTTCACCCCTGAAATTGCAGAGGTACACTGAAAAAAAAAAACCCAAAAAACATTATCTAGCTAAGTTAAAATGAGTTAAATTAATAACATTTGACTTTGATTTGAGTAGATGCAACTTGACAAGTAAAATTATTTACCAATGGAATAAATGTCTTTTTCTTAATTCAAGCAATATTCAATTTTGTTTCTTATTTTAAGTGCAAAGAGTTTTGTTTTTCTTATTTTAAGTGTAGCCAGATGTATTTTCATATTTTACATACAAAAAGTCTTATTTCACTGGCAGATCATTTTACTTGTCAAGCAGAATTTAGTCAAATCATGATAAAACTTTCTTAATTCAAGTCATCTTAACTTGACTAGATTTAGTTTTTTGCATTGTAAAAAGTATCTGTTAACTGGAAAAGTACTGCTTCATACATCTCAAGGTGGATCAGAGCATTTTGAACTCCAGATATGTTTTTGATGAGGTTACAACATTCTAACATGGCCTAAAGCTCGTAAGAGTTGCGTAATATAAGACCTTGAAACAGTCATTTTGAGAACTCTTCAAACAGGGATCCTCTGAGCATTCGTGTACTGCTGTGGAATACTACTGTCCTGTTCACACTGATCTTTGACATGTGGTGGACTAAAATATTTTTTTCATATTTGAGTATTTCAACTCTCTCAAACATTGCAACGAACATTCCAAAAGACTGGGTCGCGCCCCTCAGGTGGGTTGTAAGAGATTTTTTGGGGGCGTCACCTCATCATGATCTGCATGTAGGTCTGCAATATACAGTTCTGACACATGACAGTTTCTGTGCTCACAAAAATGAAGCCAAAGTACAGAAACAGACTGAATGCTGCATGTTAGAACATCCTGGAACACACTACAAAAACACAGACAGGCCCATCTATCTCATTAGAAATGTTGAAATGTCAAGACATGTTTTGTATCATTTCTAATCTTTTCATAATTGACTGTTTTGTTCCAATATTTCTGGTTCAATTGAAAAAGAAATGGGCTACATTTAAAGTCCAAATAGCCGATCCTTTTATTGTTGGTTCAATTACTGTTTTTCATTGTTTAAAACTTGACTAATACTAATTGTTCAGAGAGACACGATCAACAATAAAATTTCCTCATTAATGTTCAATAATCCACCTTTATTTTGTGACTTATGTACACTTGGGTCGCAAAGGTTTGTGACTTTTAAAATATGGGTCCCCAGAAAAAAGAAAATAAAAAGTTTGGGAAACACTAAACACTCTAAAAATACAAATTGTTGTTGGTGTAATATTTTATAGCTTTTCTCCTTCTGCTGGGTCCTGGGTGCAAGATAAAACTATAAGAACTCTGTGGAACTGATTTGTCTCACAAATACCCATATACCCATTGTATTTTAAACACATTTTCAGCCTTCATAAAACAGTGTCACCAATACTGTGTGTGAATTTAAAATAAAGACGTCCACACCTGTTTTAGACAATGAGAAAATGTTATGAGCTTTTTTTAATTGAGCAGACACAAACAGATTCTTCCAAGTGAGATTCTTAAGGTGCTTTTGACACAAGATCCACAAAAGACAAACATAAAGCTGAGCACAGTCACGTGTGCAAAACCACATTTTATGGACATTTAAATTACACATTTTTCAAACATTAACAGAAGGAATTTACAAGGTCCATTTTGGAAAGTTCGTAAAGTTTTGTCCTGCTTTGCCGTGTCCAGTATAAGTTACATCAGTTTTATGCAGGAATCCAAATTTTCTGTCACCAAAAATTCAATATTTTCTGTTTTTCTGAGTTGTTCTGTCACAATCTGGTTTAAGAAGCAATATGTAACTTTTCTGATGAAGGATATGCCACCTGCTTGTCTCCATGAAGATGTAATAGCTTAATATTCCACAATATGGCATTAATCAGTCTTGAATTTATTACATAACGCGTGTTTTCATTGCTAAAAAATACCTTGAGAAACATGCATTCTTACTGATGTACTGTAACTGGCTCTGGAGGTGTCACCTTCTTGTTTCCATGGAGATCGAGTTAAATACTGTACAATGAAACATTCCCGGCATTGTAACTGCATCACCATGGAGACAAGCAGGTGGCGAACGCTCCACCAGAAATGTTACACAGTGCATCTTTATGAAAGGCTGCACATTTGTTTCTGTTTATCGTAGGTCCATCTTCAATACTCAAAAAGTCTTAGCTACAGCGAAATCCATCGGGAATTATCTCGCCAACTGGAAACTTGGAAAATTCTCAACATGTAACATCACTTTTCTCTTCACAAAGTATTCCCAGACTCCCTTCGCTCTCGCCCTTCTCCGCGACCCCTCTCCGCTCGTGTGGCTAACTTCAGCTGACAGGAAGTCCTTCGGGAGCGGGGAGGAAGAGGCAAACAACTGTACATCACCCCAAAAAGTCCACGCGATTCCCAAACCCAGCTCGGAATTCCCAGAGGTCGGCGACAGAATGCTATATGTGTCCCGGTTTGGATAGGTAGGCGATGAGGGCTACGACCACCCCGACGTAGACTCCGGTGCCTATGGTGATGGACAGAGCGGCGAGGAAGAGGGCCCTTCGAGACGCGATGTTGGCCAATGAGAAGTCGCCTTTGTTCACGGCTTTGGTGGTCTGGAAAATACAAAAGGAAGAAGAAAATACATAAGGAAAGAGTAAGATGTGATTTTCAAAGACCTCAAGAGAAAGAGTGACCTATTTTCACCAAAAGGACTGTAATTGCTCATGCTGTTTACGCTGGTCTGAGGAGAGGGGAAGGAACAGCGGAGGGGACAAACTAAATCGTAAGAAGTGTATATGAAAATAAAGTAGGATGTAAAAGATGTAGAAGTATTGAATCTGTTCACTTTTATTGTTTTGAAAATGCTATATTTACTGATCGTTTTGATACTCTTTCTCTCCCTTCCCTTTGCTCTCCATGTTAAGTCACTCTCCCTTCAGAGCACTAAGGAAGATAATATGTTCCATCCGATTTTGAATTTTAAATACCGCAGAATTTCTCACTTTGAATTTTTTTTAATCTGAAAAAAAAAAAAAAAAGAACTGTATTTTAAGTGTACTCTTTCAACATATTTCAAATTCAAAATAAAAATTTCACCTTTTAAATATTCAGCACAGATATTTTCAAGCCCTCAAATTCAAAAGTTTGAGGGCTTTTTGAGGGAGTTTTGTGGCAGTTTGCATGCCAAACAACGCAGAACATTTGTCAGCGCAGCATCTCGAGGTACACCAATTATACTGATACATGATATGAAAGTGCTCTGGGTCTGCTGGATGGTAATATTCAATAAAAAAAAAAAAAAACTACCCGATGGAAGTATTGACAAAGGTGTCGTTTATTAGCCTGATTCATCCGCCAGTTTCACTTCGTAGAAACCGTCTAACCTCGCAGCATTTGGATTAGTTCGCTCAACATTAGACTGGTACTTTTTTTCATTTAACCAGTTGCTGCTATTTGGTCGTGACATATGTAATGCTCCACTAATGGGGCTAACTGGTATATTAAGCTTTTCCCAAATCCCGTATCAAGAAGGACAATAACGTCTTTTCACCAGACATTCTCTTTGTTCCGGCTTTAAATCCTCGATCTCGGGAATCGTTGCCAACACAGAATATATGACTCTTCGGTGATTGGCTGGTGCCCAAACTCACACTTCCAGGCTTTTTGCAAACCGTCTAATATATTCTGATTCCTGACCTAGTCGCTGGAGAGAAAGGAAATTGAGCGGAGGCACTAGGTGATGCCAGACTGGCAAGATGTTTATTGCAACCTGTGCAGAAAAGAGTTTGTAGATCACAGAAGCACCTCAACCCTACGATACCATTTAAACCCATTAAAACGTGTGACAGCGAGCGCAGACTTTCCCCATACGTCTGCAAACAAGACGTGTCCACAGCCCAAACTCGAACAAATGAAGAAGGAAGAAAATGAATAAATGAGTAAGGCAAATACTATTATGCGGTTAATTGAGATGAATTCATTACAAAGCCTGTAATTAATTCAATTAATTTTGTAAATCAAGTCCCACCTCTACTAAAAATGACTGTGCAGTATGTCCTCTCTCTAATAATACTGCAGGTACTTTTTGGACTCTCAAACACACTTACAAAATACCAGTGTAGCCACAGCTGCCCTGGGGTAGATTAACAGAAGCAAGACTGCCAATCTGACCACCACCAACACACACATTCATATTAGGCAAAGTGGCCGAAGTGCCTTGCCTAAAGACACAATGCCAGTTTGCGAGAGAAACATTGCCGCCCCACCGTGCCACCTCCTATTCCCAACGGTCTAACATCCAAGTACTAACCAGCCCCAGCCCCGCTTCGCTTCAGAGACCAGACGAGACAGAAGCGGTGAAACAAGAGCACCCAAGGGAGACCCACCCAGACACAGGTACTCCTCACAAAAGACTCCTCGTTGAATTGCTGAATTGAACCTGTAATGTCTCTAACCTTTAGTAAAACCTCGAATTTGTATGGATCATATATTGTCTGTAAACGCAAAACAGACTCATTTAATGCTACACGGTGGAACATTCCCGTCAAAATAAAAGCATCTTCAGGAAAGCAAGTCGCCATAATCTTCATAAAAAATAGCGTACTTTTAAATCTCTTTGAACTATAATTACTCAGGTTCTTTTTGACTTTTGTGAACGACTGGAGGAAGAAAAGAAAACACGAGAAATAAAATTGACTCAAAGGTTTTGTTGAAAGAGAGAGAGAGAGAGACGCAATTAGAGCTGCACTGTCGGTAATGATCATGTCAGAGGAAGAGAACAGAGGAGGGGCCGGTCATAGAAACATGGAAAAGGGAATGGGGAGGAAGAGGAGGATGAGCGGGGAGGAAGAGAAGAGAAAGGAGAAGGAAGGAGAGCGAGGGTGAGAGAAAGAGAGACGGGGGAGGAGGACAGGCTGCAGGTAATGATCGTGTCAGGTGAGACAGAGCAGAGGAAGGTCCAGAGAAAAGGGCACGGTGAGGAAGAGGAGGAGGAGGAGGAAGAGAAGGAAAAGCAAGGGACTAAGAGAGGAGGAGAGGAAGTGAGAGAAAGGGAGGAGGAGGTAATGATCATGTCAGGAGAAGTGAGCAGAGGAGCGTCTGTAGAAAAGAAAGAAAGAAGAGGATGAGGGGAGGATGAGGAGGGAAAGGAAGATGGAAAAAGAGGAAGGGAGGACGATGAGGAGAAAGAGGAGGGAGAGAAGCGAACAAAGGAGGGCAGGAAGAGGAGGAGATGGAAGAGAAAGAGAGGAGGAGAGTACAGAAGGAGATAGGAGGAAGACGAGGAAAATGGACAGACAGGGAAAGGGGGAGAAGGAAAAGAAAGAGATGAGGATAAGAGAAAGAGAGTAGGAGAGTACAGGAGGAGGGAGGAGGAGGACGATGGACAGACAGGAAAAGAGAGAGAAAGAAGAGAAAGAGAGGAGGGGAGTACAGGAGGAGGAAAACGAGGAAGATGGACAGACAGGAAAAGGAGGAGACAGAAGAGGAGGAGGATAAGAGAAAGAGAGGAGGGGAGTACAGAAGGAAGAAGGAGGAGGGGAGATGAGGAAGAAGGAAAGACAGGAAAAGGGGGAGAAGGAAGAGAAAAAGAGGAGAGGAGTACAGGAGGAGGTAGGAGGAGGAAGGCGAGGAAGAGGGACAGACAGGAAAAGGGGGAGAAGGAAGAGAAAGAGAGGACGGGAGTACAAGGGGAGAAAGGAGGAAGAAGATGAGGAAGAGGAACAGAGAGGAAAAGGGGGAGAAGGAGGAGAAAGACGGGGGAGAGGAAAGAGAAATAGAGGAGGGGTGTACAGGAGGAGGTAGAAGGAGAAAGACAAGGAAGAGAGACAGATAGAAGAAGGAAAGAGAAGAAGAAGAGAAAGAGAGTAGGAGAGTACGGGGGAGGTAGGAGGAGGAAGATGAGGAAGATGGACAGACAGGAAAAGAGGGAGAAGGAATAGAAAGAGAGGAGAGGAGTACATGAGGAGGCAGAAGGAGAAAGACGAAGTAGAGGGATGGACAGGAAAAGGGGGCAGAAGAAAGAGGAGGAGAGCAGGATAAGAAAAAGAGAGGAGGGGAATACAGGAGGAGGAAGACAAGGAAGAGGGACAGACAGAAAAAGGAGGAGAGGGAAGAGGAGGAGAGTACAAGAGGAGGACGAGGGACGGACAGGAAAAGGAGGAGAAGGAAGAGGAGGATGAGAGACAGAAGAGAGAAAGAGAATGACGTTGAGGAGGAGAAAGAGGTGGAAGAGGCAGTGGAAGGAGGAAGAACAGACTGGAAAAGGGGAGAGGGAATGAGAGAAAGAGAAGGAGGGGAGTGCAGGAGGAGGAAGACGAAGAGGAGGGGACAAAGACTCACGAAACAGACCTAAATATGAGCTGCGATGAACAATATGGAGGAGGTGGGTGGGGACCAGAGGTGATTTCGCTGAATGCGTTTGATGAGTGTAATTTCCCTTTGTCTTTTTGAATGGACTCTTCTCTAAACAAGACGCAATTAGCTTCATTGTCGTTTATGTTGGTCATAATTGAGGTAATTTAAGTTTAGGGCAAATCCAACTGTACCGAGGGCCGCTTTTCTTTTCTTTGATATCTACGGAACAATGTCATTCAAAATGTCCTCAAGTGTCCACTGTATCGAGTTTCAAACGGAGTCATCTGGGTCATGGTTTTGAAATCGAAACTTTTCAGATGCAGTACAAAAATGTTGGCTTAATTGGTTTTGGTTTATAGTTTTTCTTAGTGCTAGAGTTAAGGAACAGCCCTGGTCCTGGTCTAGTCCTGGTTTAGCCCAAGTCTAGTCAAGGTTTTGTCCTGGTTTAGAAGCAGTCTAGCCCTAGTTTAGTCCTGGTCTAATTGTTTAGTCCTGATCTAGTCCTGGCTCAGTCCTGGTCTAATCCTGGTCTAGTCTCAGTCTAGTCAAGGTTTAGCCCCAATGTAGCCCTGGTTTAGCCCCTGTCTTGCTCTAGTTTAATCCTGGTCTAGCCCTGGTCTAGTCCTGGTCTAGTCCTGGTTTAGTCCTGGTCTAGTCGTGGTCTAGCCTCACTTTAGTCAAAGTTTAGTCCTGGTCTATTCCTGGTTTAGCTCCAGTCTAGTCAAGGTTTAGTCCCGGTCTAGGCCTGGTTTAGTCCTGGTCTAGTTCTGGTTTAACCCTGGTCTAGTCGTGGTCTAGCCTCAGTTTAGTCAAAGTTTAGTCCTGGTCTATTTCTGGTTTAGCTCCAGTTTAGTCAAGGTTTAGTCCTGATCTAGCCCTGGTTTAGTCCTGGTCTTGTCCTGGTCTAGCCTCAGTCTTATCAAGGTTTAGTCCTGATCTAGTCTTGGTTTAGTCCTGGTCTAGTCCTGTTTTAGCCCCAGTCTAGCCCTGATTTAGTCCTGGTTTAGCCCCAATCTAGTCAAGGTTTTAGTCCTGGTCTAGTCCTTGTCTAGCCCCAGTTTAGCCCTGGTTTAGTCCTGGTCTAGTCCTGATTTTGCCCCTGTCCTGTCAAGGTTCAAGGTTCAAGGGTCTTGTCATTCAAACATGCAAAAGAAACACCTAAGCAGGAAGTTAGTGTGCACCGTTCAAAAGTCTAACAGCCTCAGGGAGTTTTTAATCCTAGTCTAGTCCTGGTCTAGTTCTGGTTTAGTCCTGGTTT